CATCTGCAACCTGAATTGTAGTGATGATGGCGTGACAATAATTCAATTTGATCACTAGGGACCACATTACACCTTTAATTTTTCTTCTATTATATGAATTGTTCAGTAACTCATCTTATTACAATATTTAGAAACTTTCAGTAACTCATCTTTTATACAAGAAAATTGATAACCCTACTTTTAAAAACTTTGCTTCACACACCCCTCTCTCTTTCTCCATATATACCCTTTTCATCCTCTATTCTCTAGGTGAACTTTAGCAAGAAGGTGAAGAAGAAGGCCATATAGGTCTCTCTTTCTCTTTCTTTTCCATGGCCTACTGCTCTAGTAGGGATTGTTCATTTTTCTTTTGTGCACTGCTATCAGTTGAAGCTGCCAGCATGATCTAAACCTCCCTTCTTTGTTGAGGAAAGATCAGATCATGTGGTTGCTTCACCTGATGTCGGTAGCACAAAAAAACCTAATCTCACCTTCTGTATTCTTTTCCTTTGTTCGGTGGTTGTTTCCTCATCATACCCATGTAAGGTTTTCATCATATCCCAAATGAAACTTGGAATGGTATGTGAAGATTTTCGTGTCCTTTATAAGGTCTGAGTACTGATACAGTCATACTCTTTTGTTCTGAATTTGTTATTTTGCAATGCTGTAAATCAATGTTTAGGGTTCAAAATCTTGTGCTTTCTCTTGTTTTTTTTGGTCACATATTATGTGAAAAAATTGTTTAACAGATCAAAAGATTGTCTAGTGACAGAAATTATAAACACGGACTCTCTGAGATATAATGATTCCAAGGAGGCGTATGCTTTGGGGATCAGCCTTTATCTACCTTAATTTCCTGTACTAATTTTGTCTATGTANCGGACTCTCTGAGATATAATGATTCCAAGGAGGCGTATGCTTTGGGGATCAGCCTTTATCTACCTTAATTTCCTGTACTAATTTTGTCTATGTATTGGTATGCATCTCTTATACCATGTCTTCGATGTACTGATTTCAATATTTCATGTGTATTAATTTTAAAAATAAACTTTCCTACATTGTTCTGAGGATACCATATGTTTTTGGTACTAATGATTTGGGAACAAAACCTGTTANGTGTATTAATTTTAAAAATAAACTTTCCTACATTGTTCTGAGGATACCATATGTTTTTGGTACTAATGATTTGGGAACAAAACCTGTTATTTTTTTCTGAAAAATACATATAGTTTTTTTTTTTACAAGGTGGGCTGAAAGTTTTGTCTCCATAAAATAATCGGGACAGAAATTTTGAAGCTTTGCCTCTTTTCGCACTGCAAAATTTCAAGTCTATTGTTGTTTTTAGTTTGGTATTGAATCTGGGCATACGTTATCAATGATCTTCTGATTCTTGCAGGTAAAAGCTTTCGAGAGACATACTCCAATACAAAGGAGATCTTGAACCTTTGCCCTTGTGCCTCATAATGTTTAATTTTGAAAACTTTCTTCTCTTCTCCCTTGTTATGTCAGGCAACTAAGTTCTGAATTATGTCATGTAAGATTAGGGTTTTTATGAACCATATGAGGACTTGCTAGGCCACCTGTTCAGAGAGAGAGAGAGAGAGAGAAATCTTGAACTGTTGCTACCACAACATTGACTGAAATTTTCATATTCTTCCTTATTTTCTTCAAGGATTGATTGTTGGATTGAACTTTCATATACTAGGGTTATCACGAAGAGGGTAAAAATCTTAGCCGAGGGACTGCGTTGGGTTACAATTTTCTTTGGTGGTACTTTGAGCCCTGAATAATTCAGGAATGTGGCACCATAGTACTATAGCTTGAGATATAGCAAATCTGAGTGACAATAACCCTTAACAGAAAGCTTGTCCTATTTTAAGATCCTAACATACCTAAGTACCTGGCAGGACTAGTTGTTCATTTAGAAGATATCTTTTGGCTTGGTTTGAGAAATGACATCACAAAGTGTTCTATGGTTTTATGACACCAAATCCATTCTTTTCTGACTACACCTCGTTTAGTTTTAATTTCAGTTCTAAATGATGCAATTGTCCTTTTGCATTGGTATCGTTATTCTCATTTGTATGTCAATAATGATAGTTTTGAATACTTGCTTGCTTCTTTTGCATACTTTTGTCACCATAGGCTTAGCCCAATGTATTATGTGAAGGCTATGCTTTAAACTTACTATATGGTTCCAATCTTTACAAATCATTTTGGTTTCGAAAAAAAAAAGTATTGCTTATTTAGATTTTTGGATGGGTGGGTCCTATTAACTCGCACCATTCATACACTGATTATAAATGTTCAACATCATTTAGATTAAAAATTTTGATGAAAGTGTTCATATGTAGAGTTTTGTTCCTGTAATTTTAGGCAGATAATAATATTAGAACTGGAAAAAACTTATTTTACAAATATAAAAGAAATAGACATTTGAAGTGCTTAATTGGTCCATCTGGGGAAGAGATTGGGCTTCAAGAAATAGTGGGAAAATCCTTAGGTATGCTTGTGTTAGATACACGTGACTCGATTAATGAAATAGTAGTAATATGAAAATTAAAGCAATAGAAATTAAACCGCACCCCCAATACTGGATACACATTTTCAAACTGCATGATATGCAAGTTTTTCAATTTCATGGCTATTGTAATTGATTATCGCTCTATCCGTGTTACATGTGCACATTGTCACATTTTTCATTTTGTCGTTGATTTTTTTATGTACTTGGTCTCCAAATGTAAGCAGAGTTTGCACTTGCGGGAATATTAGAGTTTGTCCCATGTCGGTGTAATACTGCCTCCTAAACTAGTATATTATTGTGAATCTCGTTGCTGATTATCAACTAATTTTGAGTTGATAATTATTTTGGGTTACATAAATGTCTCAGAGTATTAGCTGGTGAAGGCCTTACTTGGTTTCTCAATATAGAAGGAGAATGGAGAACTCCTAATGTTAACATTTCAAGTTATGAACAGGGCCATGCATGTGAATGTGAACCCTATACTATTCTTTATACCTGTCTGTAAATGTCACCATCTCTCTCTCTCTCTCTCTCTCTCTCTCTCTCTCTCNCCCCCCCCCCCCCCCAAGACACACAGTCACTCAGGGTGTGCAAATTTGGTTTTCTCCAGTGAGTTCACAGGAGACTTGTCACTTTTGGCATCTTTTCTTGTTGGGGAACTTCATTTATAGGCAAGATTCCACATAACTTTCATCTGCCCTTAGTACCCCATATATGAGAAAACAAAATTTGATTTGATTCTCCCAACCTTTCCCAAGGGCTATCATTTGTCACTTTCATTTACTAAAGTTCATCACAAGGTGAAGAAATCATGTACTGTCGTTTGTTCCAATGCATAGCATTCAAGGGATGTTCCATATAGCTGGATATTGGCATTAGCGTACTCATTTTGTTATTTTTCGCGAGGTTGGGTTTTTTAGAGTTGACTAAGAGATACACAAATGATTATATATTGGGCGGATAATTCTTAACACGACCTATCAATCCACCATCAAGTTAGTGGGTATTACTCATTTTTGCTTGGTGATATAAAGTTCGAGTTTTGCACCATATCTTGTGGCACTGAGAATCGAAATCAATTTCACAAGCTAGCATATTTTTTGGTTTTAATGAATGAAAATTAAATCAGATGTTCAAGAAATTCTTCAAAGGAATTCTGATTGCATGGACCTGGACCTTATATGTGCAACCAAAGGACTCTTTTCCAAGTGGATGTTGAAGTCTCATGGATGAGCATTGTCGACGTCCCAACATGGCTAGAAGACAAAATGTAAAATTATGGATTTTAGCCCAGCCAAACTTCTCGAGCTTATGTATGTTCAAACTCGGTCCAATTGAGATCAACTAAGCTTAAATTCTTGCTCAAGCTTGGCTCAACACTAGCTTGTAAATATTAGAGCCAAAATCGAGCTTAATTTCACAATAAAACTTATGAAAAATTATAATCAAATTCTAAAATAATCATTTTTTCAACAAAAATCTCTAAAAAGATATATATAGCCAACACAAATCCAATGTTTAAAATTTTAAGCTTCCCAACAATCTATTAGCAAAAAATTGTGTGTGTGAGGGAGAGAAGAAGAGAGAGAGAGAGAGAGAGAGAGAGATGCATATGAAAGCTCAGCTATTCGACAATAGACTTGTAGTTATTCATCTTTCGAACATAAGTTCTTTGATAGTAAAATTAAAATTATTTAAACAGCAATTTATTCGCGCCAAGCTGAGCTACATGTTACTCAGGTTTGGCTTGCTTATGCAATTTGCTTAAAAATTTGATCAAATTTAGTTCATTATTATAGTTTGAACAGGCATGGACGAGTCAAAATCGGGTCCAAGTCTGAGCCAAGATAGAGCTACTGATATCGTAAATCAATCCATGACCAAGGGTGACAGGTTCTCATGTGAATGTATCCATAGCAACACCATGGGTGAAACTTCAAGCTTTTTATATAAGCTTAGAGGACACTAAACATATAGCTCATATGTGGTGCTGGTTCAAGTTTGTTGGCCATGAATAAACATAAGCTGAAAATACTTTTCAATTAGCTTGCGAACTATTGCAGAACTAACGCTTCATTTGGTAGGTGGAAATGAAACATCAGAATGGTTCGTTTGGTAGGTGGAAATGAAACACCCGAATGGAATGGCGAGGTCGAAATCAGATGAATGATTGTACTATAGGCTTTTTTTTATTTTTATTTTGTAAAGGTTGATTTTAGTCTGATAATCTTCTCATGTACAAATGGAATTTTGCAAAGCAAAGTGAACTTGTAATTGTTACACTGGTACTAGCATTTAAGTAATCATAATCATGTTCTAAAGGAAACTAAAGCTCTAGCTCTTTACATTGACTGATCTAAATTGAAAAACCATGCAACCCTGCATGAGATCATACATGTACAAAGAAGGCTCTGTCATCCATTTAACCACCCCTCACCCCACCTCTCCTTCCTTCTTACCCATTCCCTACTTACTGCTCTCTGTTCTCTCTCTCTCTCTCTCTCTCTCTCTCTCCTAACAATAGAACATTACTCTCTTCACATTCTCCTTGAGGGCTGGCAATGGCCGCACACTAGACTCTCTAGCCGCTCGTGTGCCCTTGGCAACTTGACCTACACCACAGCCATTCTCTTGCATATCTGGTTCTGTGTAGAATCGGGCTCGAAATGCAGCTAAATGTGCATAATATGCAGGAGGAACTGCACAAGATCAACAGTTCATCATCGGAAACAAATAGCATGAAGAGAATTTGAGAATCTGCAAGTTCAGTAATAACTTTGGGGATCTACCTAAAAGGGCATAAAATGCAAAACAAACTCAATTATATCTTTAACACCCTTTCAAATTAAAAAATAAAAAAAAATAGCATTAGATTTGTACACAAACACAAGCTAAATAACAACAATTTCATGTCATTAATTTACTTTTTTTTGTTTTGTTTAAGCTTACAACAAGCTCCTTCCACCGCGCTTCAGTTATTGAAGAGTGTAGTAATGGTTTAGAGACCACATTCACCCCACCCCACCCCCCTCCGGGGGATGGTGGGATTGTGACAAGTGAGATTAATTAGCTCAGAGTGTATGCAAATTAGTAAGCAAACATGCAATAAGGTTTTGTACACCTACCAACAGAAACTGATCGCGTGCACCTTGCATATGTGTAGCAGAGATTGTTTGTCAATGACTGAATTCCATCTGCTGTAAAATTGTTCTCATCCCATAGAACATGGTAGTGAGCTGGCCGAGATGTCCCCTGCCATATAACAAAGAATGTAATGATTCCCAAGGTATTCAAACATAAAAACAGAGTAGATGTAACGATTAGCGAGCAACAGGAAACCATAATTTCTTGCTCATGAAATCTTGCTCTGCAATAAAGCAGCTCCAAAAAAAGCTAAACCCCCTCCCCCTAACAACCTTCAGACATAGACAAAATAAAAGTAAAAAGTAAAAATTTGATGCTGTCGATCATTTTGTTGTATTCCAAGTTCTAACACAAATGAATCAAGTTGGTCAATGGTGCCCCCTAGCAAAGGGACCAATGAAAAATCCTTATACAAGTCCTATCCAAAACCACTATGCAAAAATATGTTCAAATTCATCGATACAAAAACCAATTTTCCTGTTCTTTTCACCAACACCTTGATCTCTGCTACCCCACATGGGACAAAAGGAAGTCTATGTACTTGTCTTGGGCCACCAGATTGCATTGTCTTACCAATGATGGTTCATAGTTTGATCTTCGAAGTATTCAAGTTTTGTTTGTACTTGAGACCACCAAAGTGGGTTCTAGAGAGATTCCATCTTGATTCCCCTATTGAGTTGCCTTTCATGACTTTCGTAGTTAGAAGAGCAATCTTTTGAATCACTTAATGCAATAAAAGAAATTTGATGGTCTCACCTGAATACCAGCATGGCTGCAAAGATAAAAATCGAACTCTGTTGGATGACAGATTTTAGAATCAACTACCGTGCCTGAGAAAACAAAATATATCATCATAATTTACCCCAAAAAAAAATATCAACATTAAAAAGTGCGAAAAAGGTGTACTGAAGAGTTAGGACACGGATTAGCAATTATGTGCAGAGAAACAGGTTAATTTTCCATGAGTAATCCATACCAGGCAATATGTTTCCACTTTTGTCCGTGCTGCTCCGGTCCCTATGGTTGTTGGCAAATAATCGGGTGTGATGTCGTTTTTGTACCACAATAAAAGTGACGGGAGGTTGATAGTTGGGTTCTAAAGAGGCACAAGCCTGTATGGAAAGTTGATGATCAGTGCCACATAAATTTCAATTTGTCTCGAATTTAGCAGTATAAGGATATAAGCAGCAAAATAGAGGAGCTCAAACCTTGCGAATTGCATCTAATTCATAAAGTAGGACTTGATAAAATTGCCCTTCACTCACACCATCCCTGCTCAAAAAAATTATCTTAAAAATATGCTATAATCATGGATTAAGAATTGATGCAGAAGCAATTTAAGCAGTTAGCAATCTGATACACCGTACAGACATCCTTCACAAATTCATTTAGAACATGTATTTAGGCATAAGGGCAAAGACACGTTTACCAACTATTTGCATGTCGCATAGACATGCGCATGCAAATCCTTTACATGCATACACATAACCTAGAAGTGCTAATCACGTGAGATTGAATGAGATCATGACACAAAGACTACACCGTTTGAAAGTATTGACTACCAAATGTGTTAAGGCCACCACCCTTGGAATGCATTGTATTGTTGTTGCATGGTGGATTACATAGGCTCTCTATGCTTCAAAAGCTTGCAAGATTTTATGATGCGTATACCCACAAAATATATATAGTCATATATTTGGTTTCAGCAACTAGGAACTGACTGGGCTTCAAAGGATTTGGCTCCTCTTGAATAAATAAATCAAGATTACTTTCCGAAATTAGACGATTAAGTATACACAAAACAATTAATTAAGATGAATCCTTCCACTAGTATCGCAACTATTCCTGCTGGCTAACAAGTAAATGGGTTTCCTATTATGATCTTCTTTCATCATGGTGTCTTCATGAACAATCATAATGATTTAGTCATTTACCTTGCCTCAAAATGCATCCATTTCCGAGTTAAAGACAAAGGTCACAGATAAATTCTACTGCAGTAAACCAAGGAACTGTTTGGCTGGAGTGTTAGATTAGAAGTTGGTGAGAAGGTTAAATCGGCAAGAGAGACAAAAATCTGTAACCTTTTACTGACTGTAATGCCAATGATATAAGTGGCAAAGGTTGTGTCTGTGCAGTGTCAACGACATTGGAGTAACAATGACAATGCAGAGTAAAGAAAGAGAAGACAGCCACTGCAGAAGGGTTGGCTGTTGGAATTACTGATTTTATTGTTGGCTGTGGGAATGACAATGGTGGAGCTAATACAAGCAGCTCTGCTAGATGTTTACGACTGATTAGTGACATCGAAAAAACATCAGCAATAGTGCAAAAGTGACAATTGATCGTGAAGACAAGTGTAGATGGTAAGTGCGGCCTAGGTTGAGACTTTGGTGGCATTAGGTGGTGATAGACGCAGAGCAGGCATATAGCATTTTAAGGTGTACTACCTAATGAAGACCAATAGATACTTAAGAATTGGTTCAATAAATTGCCAAAATCATAAAGCAGCAACACATCAGAAATATTTCCGCTAAAACAGCATATGGAAAAGTGTATAGACCTGTAAAATATAATCCTCTGTGGCTTTTGCCCAGTTGCCTTTCGGAATGAAACAAGAAGATCCCTGCATAGAGAAAAATGCGATGAAAAAAACAGTGAACACATGCCACTCCCCCTACACCCTTCCACTACCCCACCCCTCCAGAAAAGAAAGAAAAGAAACCCAACAAATATTTAAACAAGGTAAAGTTGCAAAGCAAGGGGAAAGTTATTTACCTGATCATGCCCCCACTTACTGTGCCACGACTAGGATCATGCCACGTTTTGTACAAGTCTTGTATGAGTTCCTGTCGATGAGCTTGAGCACAAACCAATCCTGCATACTTTGTTACTTCAGGCCAATCCTGAGAAGCTACTACCTATAGTCAGAAAACAAGTTTTAGCAACTAAGTCTACAATCTTTGCTTCAAGCAATATAATCAAGCATGATTCAAGTCAAGGAACTGTACAGCAGCTATCGAGGGACTAGAGTCTTCTCCATTCTCTGGATGAGTCACATCTGCTCCAAATATGATGGTTGGTATGTCGCTAACTAATGGTATTCTGCAGCTAATAGCATCCAAAAGAACAGTGTTTCTGCCACCCATCTGCTCAAAGAAGAATAAAAAATCAAATCTTAGTTGCTAGGGTAGCAATTGATTGAGTTAGGAGGAAACAATCGTATAGTCAGAATAGGAAAATCACATGGTAACCATACCCATGGCAGATATAGGAGCAATGATATGCGCTGAAATGTTATTAGAAGGTAAAAAAAAAAAAAACATTTGGACCACTTGAACATTTTGAATAAATTATGTTGATGTCAAGACACATAAAATATCAAAATTCAACGACAAACTTGAATACATCCTCTTCTATTGTGATAACAATCTATCGCACCTTAACATTGATCTTCAAGGACACGTTAGCCAGATATTGCTTGCTAATCTTGAAGACATGTTTTGTAAGACAGCATTGGGATATCAAGCCCAGATCAGTTTCACATATTCTCTTTAGATCGCCTATGACCACAAAATCAGATCAAATTTTAATTGCCAAGCAAGAGTTTATTTTAAATCTTAAAAATCAATTTTCCATACTGCATACCATACAGTGACCCATTGTTGTCAGGTAAGATAGCTAACAGAAGCTCTAACTCTTTTCCTTTTAGTTTGTTCATACATGCATAATAAACATGCTTCAAAGCTTTCTCTACTTGCTCAGGCCTGGCCGTATAGATTGGAATCACAGGTTCTGGATTAAATTCCTGTAAAATGCAGCTGATTTCAAGTTAGATTAAGATTGAAAGGCAACACTATCTGTAATAAAAAAGAAAAAGAAAAATTACCATGCCAGACACTTGACACATTTGAGCCAGTTCATTACAAAATCCACGAGCAACATTCTCTTGCACGCTCCGTGAGAAGTTAATACACGCCCACCGGCTAACAGTCATCCCATTAATCACTTTCTGTTATGTGAGGAGAACAACATATCAGTTTCCAAATCTAGACAAGACAGAGAAAATAATTTCATCCTTATCACATTATCTGCAAGACAAGTGCATAGGAAGTGACAAAAAATGAACCGAAATGGAAGAGATTTAGAAATCCAGATATGACATAGCACATGGTAAATTTGATCATCTTACAGCCAACATGTATGACAGCACATGGTAAGTCAACTTTATATACACCGACTAATAAACCAAAGCACAAAAAGAAAATACCTTGTTCATCATATTCCACTGACCAACTTGGGGCAAACAATCCTTTTCCTTCCCAGTTTCATGATACTTGAGCTACACAGAAGAGTGTCATTCAGATGACAATTAAAGTTTACATTCTTTTGAGAACTGAATGAAAGCATGTAGGAGCTTTACCCAAGGAGCAGGAAGAACTCGTGCCTCTAAAGAAACTAGCTTTTCGCTGATTTTGATGCCAAACTCCTTCGCATATGGGTCTTGGTCATATGCATTGTGTTGAACCGTCTGTGTTTGAAAGAGCACGTACGATGAGTTATTCACTCAAGCCTACACTACTCCCGAATATATTACAAGGTTACTCGTACATTATTTCTATATCAATGGCTTCAAAATTTTCGACAGTTTCTTTGCTAAAAAGTCAGGAAGGGTATTTTTGACACTTTGTGACTGCTACCCCCTATTTCATTGTATTTCAACATACAACTCCTAGTCCTACTTAAGTCAATATGTCATTGCCAAATACCTAAACTTCCTTCATATCTATTAACCAAAGTTGTCAACAAACACAATACTATCACGTAATACGCTATGCAAGTAAGTCTGATGCTTGACCCCAAGAAGCTGACCCAATGACATGTCTTCCACCTCAAATGGGGGAGGTCACATGATCGACTCTCCTCAACCCCTTGGGGTCATTGCGTGGGATTAATCCTGGTAATTACATAATGCATGTGGGACGACGGGACTGCATGTGTCCAGTGCTCTAAGAGGCAAGGATATCTCCTATTTCCCACCAAAAAAAAAAAAAGAAAAATCCCGAAGGCTAATGAGAGGTTGATATAAGATACCAATACCTGAGTAAATTTGATTAAGTTTCTTGGATACTACCCAAAAAGGATTAACAATAAGCAAGATGCCAAGATTCAACACCACAACATACCTGCACAATATCGTTTTCTCGATCCCTGGGTCTTTGGCACGTAACTTTCAACAGAGCAGTAATTTGCTTCTCGCTCAACCTTTTTGTATATCTTTGCCCCTCTACAATCTTGCAGGCCTGCAAACGAACATCATTAGGAACAATACAGTGTTCAGAAGAAGGCGGGAATGCCATTGAATCCACTAGGAGGAACAGCAGAACTAGTTACAACAACTCTCACCTCCATTGGTAAATAGTTTGCCTTCCTCTGGTTTCCTACTTGAAGACAAGGCAGATGAGTATGCTGAATCGTGAAGCCATACATTTCTTGAAAGTATTCGACAACTGACTTCATGGTTGAGTTGTCATCCACAGGAAACCTGGAAAACATCACTTAACCATCTATAAACTTAAACACATTCATCACAAGGCCATAAGGAAGATAAACACTAGGTATGAGGTTCCAGTGGTGAAGATAGAATTGTCTAGGTGCCAATGCAGATATGGCTCTCAGTAGCCCATATACAGTGCAAATTGTAGCCCATTCCAAGTTTGGTGTCCTTATTTTATACTCTCCCATTTTACCTTAACATCGATCCAAAACAATGTACGATGAAAAATGCACATATCTTGAGAATAGAATTTATGACAGGCATAAAGATCTTACACTAGTTCTCTTGTCGGTTGAGATGTTAATCCTGAAACTCGATACTTTCTTCGTACATTACCCCTGTGTGTTACTTCGACTTTAACACCTCTGAGGGCCTTCTTGATCTGGAAGGCATTTCAAAGTGAAAAAACAAATTAGAAGGAGAAACAGGGATATAAATCCACCTGTATCATCAAATAAAACGACCAATACCTTTACACGGTCAGAATCAGACAAAGGCCTTGATAACACATCTTTGCCAAGAAGCTGGGCGACAAACTCCATCACAGGTAGAGCCTCAATAAATGCTGCGGAAGCCATATCTGCAAAATCAAACATAGAAAACAGAGAAGAGATGATGATGACGACAAGATGATGATGATGATGATGATAAGAAAAAGCTAATTCAGAATCTCAAGTTTTATGTTTCACTACCAATATTAAGGGACAAGCCCATCTGAGTAGGTCTTATACTCTGGTAGAATCCGCACCATGCCTCTAAGCCATCACCGAGTCGTTGTGGTTTACGGATATTAGGAGAAAAGAAGGATCTCCCAACCGGGCAGTACCTTTTAAAATGCATAGTCTGACAAGTAAGAACAAAATTCTGTACAAAAATTCATTGACTGATTATGCCGGGACAATCTCATACCTCTGCGTTGAGAGCTCTCTCAACACAATGTCAAGAATCTGAAGAGCTTCCTGAGGAGCATCCACACGGTTACCAGCCAGAAATTGGCCCAAATGATGCATATTCGCCCGTGCCACAAATTTGATGACCACTTTGTACTCCCTTACCCTTCTGAATGATAAACAATTGTTCAATTAATAGGCTTTCACAGATTGTAATTAAGAATTTCTTCTTCTTTTGGATTTTCCACACATTGCTAGAATAATAACTTCAACAATTAGAGAGAGAAAAAATCCTGATGGCACCCAAAAAAAAAAAAAAAACTAAAAATTGATGAGGAGAAGAGAGCAATAAATTCTTACTTGGGACCATTGATTCCATACTCTTCATCTACAAGTTTAATAGTGAACTCCTTCCAAGCAAAAGGAAGCTCACCAGCTGTGTACAGACTCTTTCTGCCATCATAAGCAGGTAATCTCATCCCCAAGTCAGACTCCTTATACATTTTCACCAGCTCTGCCATGATAGCCCTGTTCACTGTTCTTGATGCCACTTCAGGAGTTATAGCAACCTGCCAAGAAAAAAACACAGACAGTTAAAAAGGGTTATACACATAATACACAACAATAAGAATAACAGGAATGGCCAAATTCAAAAACCCATTAGTGCCATTAAAGCAAAAGACAATGAGAACAGAGAAGCCTATTCAATTTGATCAGCAAACTAACAGCAGATATAACAAGAAAACAACACTATAAACAAAGTAGATGTCAGCTTACGGGCCCCAATATCAATTGTTTGTCAGAAAGAAAAGCTGTATAAATTTATTTTGCTGCAAATATACTAGACAGATAGGTGTAATGTAAACACATTGAAGAAGACAACTTACATCATATTGGATCAAGTCCTTGTTTGGTAACTCTGTAAAGAAATGGTTGGCTTTTACAATACATTTGGTCCCAAGTTGCCCATAACCAGGCCTAGGAGCAAAACTTAAAGACTTGCCCGATGAAGGAAAATCCCTTTCAACAACACACAAGTTTCCCACATTCTCAACACACCCATTTGGTATATCTGCTAGAATTGCTCTTATGGGCTGAACCAAGACTGGCTTATTAGCCTCAGTGCAAGGCCTTGAACTTGGCCGCGTAAAAACCTCTGCTTGATCCGATTTTCGACCGCCTTTTCCTCTTCTCCTTCTGGATTTTGATGGAGGTGAGGTCTGGTTAAGGACTTCTTGGTTCTGAGGTTCTGGGGTTTGTGGGCCTTTGCCATTTTGAGCAGTTCTGGAGTGCTTCTGATGAACTGTGCTCATGGAGTTCTGTAACTGAGGTTTGATTACAAAATGTTGTTCTGAGCTATCTTTCATCTGCCTTATAGGCATGATGACCAAATCCCCACTGAAACTGATATATGAAGCACAAACAATTCTTCAAACCAAATCTCCTTCAGGATTCAACAAATGGTACCTTCAAACACAGTCTTCTCTTGTAGTCTTTCAAAATTTTCTTCACTGATTTAAGGCTATTTGTACTGAAAATCCAGAAACAGAACAGCAACATATGTCAGCAATGTGACCCAGATTGCAATAACTATACAAAAACAGAAAAAAAATGATGATAATGTCATCAACGCTTCACACGCAAAGTAAAAAGTGTACAAATAAAAAACCCGAGTCTTTATTGCAGGCTACAGACATTACTATTCCTTCGCAAAACCAAAAGACCCAAACCTTTGACATTTGTTTCAACAACTATACCAAGAATACAGTCTATCATGAACAACATTGTAAATTTCTCAAAAAACCAGAAAGTACAGAAATAAAAAAACTACATTAAACCCCACATTCATAAAGAAAATTGCAGTCAAGTTTTTGCTGAGTACTCTAATAATTGCAGAAACTCATAAAGAAGACAAGACAATAGTAAAACAGCAAATAATGCTCACAAGTATCCAAATATTTTCAGTTATGTTAAATTTTAGCTCTTTTTTAATGTTTTTCCAAGTGGGCACTCAATCTTGGAGACCCACCAAAGCAGTCTTGAAACAGAAAACCCCCAAAAAGATTCCAGCAAAATTAAGCTTTGGAGAGAGGGAAGAAAACATATAGGTAGAGACAAAACTAACCATCAGCCCAAACCCTCTTCGATGCTTCTGTTGGAAACCCAATAACCATGAATCAAGAAGAGAAGGCAAAAAGATTCATATTTTATGTACACATTCAAAGATGTCTATATTCAAAGATGTCTATAACACAAAGACATACATATATAATAATTTTGATGAAATAGTAGAAATACCCAGCAGACAACACCACCCCCCTCGCCTTGTCCCCTAACCAAAACCAAACTTCTCTGAGAAAATCACAACACTAGTTGAATACATCCAAGTAAATAAGAGACAACACATAGACATAGATACAAAAGCATAAATAAGTGTGAAAAACAAATGACTGCTCAAGAAGAGAATAAAAACACCTAGGAACAAACAAAACAAAAGCCATAAGTAATAAGTTACGCGTAGAAATAAAAGGAATAAGCATTGAAAACCTCACTAAAATCACCATCTGAAGATGACCCAATTTCACTGGCACATAGAAAATAACACCCAAGAACTGAATATATATACACACAACACAAACGATAATGTCCAAAGAACCCAAAGATTTTGAACTTTGTACTCACCAACCAATGAACAAACTCAGTGACCTTGAAAGACTGAGTCTTTAAAGAGATAAGCAATTGAATCTACAAAAGCTAGCAAAAGATGGGCTTTAATCATGAAGATGGATATCTCAAAAGATGAAGATGGGACTGGCAAAGAACGTGGAGGGTTAGAAAGTGGAGATAAAAAGATGGGTTTTGTGGGGGATTCAGATTACATATGAGAGAGAACCAATAGTTGAAAAAAGCAAAAGGGTAGGGCCTTCACAAGCCTCTCTCACACGTGATAAAGAGAACTCCAAAAGCGATTGCATGCGTGTATAAAAGATTCATCATCATCATCACCCCCCTCTCCCTCTCTCTCCACCCCCTTTGTGCTCTCTCCGTTTGGCTTCTGGGATGGTCGCGCAGCCTCGAAGACGTACATGGGTTATTAAAAATACAGTCTTTTAAGCCATACATATAGTAAGATGTATATATAGAGAGAGAGAGAAAGAAGGGAATAGGGTGGGGGTATATAGTCCAAAAGAACCACTGAAGATTATAAAAGCAAGCATACGCAGAGGAAGAATAATTCGAACTTGCAGTCCTCATTTCTGCAGAGTTTTAAATATGTGCCTCACTTTCTTCCTCTCTCTAGATTCCAATGTTGGTATGGTATGCTACTTCTCTTTTTTCTCTCTCTAGTGACCATAGGCATGCCCCAAAATCTTTTGTGTACTCAAGCTTGGGTAAGCTGTAACGGTCGATTCAAGCTCAGTGGTGAAATGGGTCCACAAGTTGTGTGGACTTATCTGCTTTTTGGATTTATGGAATGATTAGATGTGGCCATGGACCAGTTTGGACTGTAATCCACCTCTGTGGAATTCAGTTATTATGGATTACCTAAACTCGGATCTGAAAATTGACCAGGTTAACAGTAAATAAAAAGTGAAAAAAAAATTGATTGATATACTGAGGGGGTTCAAGTAAGGGTGTAAATTTGTGTGTTATTTTTTTTAAGGCTATGTCATTATAATTCTTGTTGTATGATTGTCAATATCTATAGAAAAAAATATATTTAATGTGTTATAAACATCAAATATTAATTCAACTAATATATTTTGTGTATTAATTAATTGTGTTCATTTTAAAATTATATCATGTTAAATTTGTATCGTGTTCGCGTTAATGAGTCAAATTGATCTAGGCGAAAGGTGTTTTAAAGTCATGCCCACACAAGAGATGCTTTAGGTCCTTTTGAAATTAACATATTATGAATCTAGTAAATGTTATTGTTATATAAACATATTAACTGAAGGAGTTCAAACCTTCAATTATTTAAAGACGACCTATTAGAAGCACGAGATAAAAACACATGCAAGTCTTTGAACTGAGAATAGTATCAACTGACCAAGTTAGTGTTATAAAGCATAAGAGCGAAAGTCAAGTAAAACCAAGATGAGGACCTTTCAATCAGTCGATTTGATAACCGATACAACCCCATCCCCTTTTGGGTGAATCTTTACCAGGAGGATGAAATGTTTGTGCTATCCCACCAAATTAGAGATAACAATAGAGAAGATAACCAAGATTGAAAAAGATGACATGATAAACATGTTATCTATGCACATGATCAAGAAAGTTAGGAGGCATCTCAGCATCAATCAAGAGGAAACCAGCTAAAGAGATAGATATGCCACCTAGTGACCCTAGCATCAACCAATATAAGCAAAGAACGAATCTAAGGTATGCGATATCAACCCAGTAAATTGATCAGTCCACTTGAAATATACATACTGATCTTGGCATTGAAGTACCTCCAACGGATCAAACCTCCGATCCCAAGCCGTTTGTTCATTTTACAAGTAAAGATGGCTCTTGGTCGTGTATTAGGAATCCCTCATCACCTTCATCAAAGAGGTACTAGATTTTTTTCTCTTACACTAACAACTACTCATGTAATATGCGAAATTTATCTCATGTACAATCTCATAAGAGAGCATGGGAGGTTCAAGTTGTATGGACGAGTTGGGGTATTAAAAATATAAATTTTGATTAAATAACTATTAGTTGGTTGTTGTGCACAAAAATGAGAGAGTGGTAACAATAGTCCAAGTATTATGAACTAATTGCATCAATTTTTAAAATTGATTAAATTAAAATTATTATAATTTGGTACTGGGAAAAAAAATCGCTTTAAACATTCTTTCTCAAAAACTAACTCTTATAATATATGGTATAAATATAGAGTGTGATATGCACCTTCTATTCGAGAAGACCTAGTTTACGATTCATTGCAATATTACGTTGTTACTAATTATTACAATTTAATAACAAAAAATTATATTTATATATACACACACACATATATCATAGCAATTGCATTATACTAAATATATATGTAGAGTGCACTATGCTTATGTTTAAGGAGAAAAATAGGGGTCTCTAAATTTCTGACCGGCCTCAAATTCCTACCCTATCCGACCCTACTCTATCTTACTGAACGGCTAGCCGCAAAAATTGGGTAGAAATGCGGAAGAATTTTTGATCTTCCAATAATTTTCGAGTAGGAATGCGGAATAGCCATCCATTTCCACATTCCTACTTTACCCTACCCGCAATAATTTTTTAATATATATAAACTAAAAAAAACCCTAAACCCTAGCGGAGCAATTATGATTTTAATGTGTTTCATATTAAAGTTTAAACTTAAATTAATTGTTATTGTATTTGTATAACAATTATGGTGGATTGATGTTCATACTTTCTTGTATTTTATTATAATTCTTGTTATAGTTGTTTTAGATTTTAGTGTTAATTGATTTATTGTGTTGTTAAATTGGTGTATGTTATTTAATTAAATTGTTAAAATGATCTAAAAATTAATTGTTACAAAAACGTTTACTTGACTTCCTACCCGATTAATCGAGTAGGAATACCACACCTGTCTAGTATGGTAGGCCAAGAAAAAAAAATTTCGCAAAATATCAGGTAGGAAAACGGAAGAACATATTTTCTACCCGTAAGGTAGGGTGAACACCTCTAGAGAAAAATCTTGATTTGTTTAGATTTTTTGACTGAAATATTTTAAAAAGTGGTGAAAATTTGAAATTCACATATTAAAAATAATGTTTCAGAATTAGAATTATAAATTATTTTTTATTTTTATTCTTTTTTTTAAATTATTTTTATTTTCAAATCAATCAAAAGATTCAAAAATATGAAATAAAATAAAATTTTAATCCTTAATTACCTCTGTAATTTGGTGATGGTAAGCATTAGTGGGGTCGGAACAAATGAGAGTGTAGTGATTGTATCTCATGACATGGTGGACTACTAGGAACTGATGGGTCCCACCAGACAAGTTACAAATGAGATGTTTAGGGTTTAATGACAACACACTCAGTATAATTTGGTTGCTTCTGATTTTTTGGTCGGTGCTGCTTTGTGGGGTCATTAGTCTGTGGACACAATTGGAACATGAATTGAAATGTTTGGGTGTGGTAGTTTCCACTGATGTTACTGTGTAGTATAACTAATCACCATCGGATGATGATCATGGATACCAATTTATGCAATCAAAGTTTTAAAAATAAATTACACATATGACCCTCAAACTATGATCCTTGTATCAATTAAGTTCTTGAACTTTTTTTTTGTTTTTAAGAATTCATATTTTACAATTAAATTTTCAAATTTTTATTGTTTTTCATCCTAAGAGAACAAAATTTGTAAAAAAAAAAAAAAAAATTATTATTTTAATTTAGTTAAAAGTCAATTAAAGTCACATTCTTTACTTTTCACCAATTTTCGTGCTCTGATAAAAAAAAAATCACATAAAAATAATGATGCGAGCGGTGTGTTTAACCACAAAATCAGATTAATTTTATTTAACGGTCATGTTGGCCTGAGTAAATAATAAAAATAAATCCATTTAGACAATTGAAGTTTGTCCCGAGAATGTGAATAAAATTAGAAGAATATAAAAATAGACTGAATATAATAGTGAAATAATTAAAATATCCTCATGGTCATATGTAAAATGACAAAAATTAAAAAATTCCCCTAAATTAAGCATCGGTCTCATTTTACACCTCATACTTTTTTATGGATTGCATTTAATCTTCTCCAACTTGTGAACAAATTGTAAATCTAATAGAATATATTTATTTTAACGGCGCGGGAATTGCACGTGCTAAATAAGTATGTGTTATAAAATAAATATTTTTTTAAATTAAAAAAATAAACTATCAATTTTACCCTTTATTTTCCTCCTCTCTCTCTCTCTCCAGACCTCCAAATTCATCAAACGACTCGATTTCTTAAATCTAAGGTTATTTTTGCACTCCTTTACCATAAATTAGTTAGACTCAACTTCACTTTTGAAGCTTTAACAAGTTTTCTAAAGTTTTAATTTTTAAAATTTTAAACCCTAGTGGATTTTGTACCACACGCACACCTCGATCATAGCTCCCAAGCACTCCAACGTTGTACTACAACTTCATAAAACAATTTAAGCCTTAATTGCAAGAGAAATGATTGTTTGTTATGTAACTCATTTGAAAATCCATAATTAGTTTAAGCTTTAAATATAAATTCAAACACACGGAACATGAAACTTAAATTTAATCATACCAATGAAATCCTCATGAAAAATGTCTGACCAAGTTGAATTTATGTACCTGAAATCCTTTGAATCAAAACCTGAAATCCTTTCTTTTCTATTTCTCTCTCTCTCTTGGTGGTAGAAGTGTGCTAGTTGCAGGTTTTGTTTTTTTAAAAATAAGGGTTCTACAACAGTAACATCACAAAAAAATTAGATTATAATCAGAGGACAGTTTAGTTTTTTATATAAACTATTACCTCTGTTAATATTTGTAACTTGTACACAAATTAGAGGGAATTAAGTGAAATCCATAAAAATATAAAGGGTAAAATGAGACCGATGCTTAATTCATGATGTTTGTTTGCTTTTTACCCATGGCCAAATTCACCTCTCTTAGGGATATAAGTGTTCACATGTAATTTGAGTGTAATCAATTAATGAAATGTCCAAACTTTCTGTTGAATGGATTAAGTTGGGCCTACCAGAAGACACTAAGTCAATGATTCAGATAGTCCATCAAGTGACAACAAGGAGTGAATCAAGAGCATAATGAGAGGATCTTTCATCTGAAGACTATAGTTCACAGAACAACATAAAGTAAAATGTACCCGTGCTTGGATGG